GCAATGAAAAGGCAGAGTTATTAATTGAATTTCCACAGGCATTTGGCTCAGTGTGGATGTATGATCTCATTGCTTTGTATTCAAACAGAACTTGCCTTAATACCAACTGGAATCCTATTTCTTAAGTGAAATAGCATAAATCATAGTAGTGAATTGCTGCTAGTTAAGGAGTTGCTGTTTATGTTTCTTGAATCATGCATGAAGTCATGACACTGATGTGCAACAAGAAATATGAGCAGTTACTTGTAACTAGCAGCAATTCCCTCCTGAGATTTACATAGCCGTACTTACGCCACTGTTTGTAAGCAATAGAATTCTGGCCATAGTTTCTGATCATTTGGACCGAAACAAATGACTCACATGTACACACAAAGGTCTAAAGCAAAGGGCTAGTCCCAAATACAATAGATTCACTTAATCATTTGTTGAATGCTAAGTGATCATTCAGGTAAACCCAATGGAATCAATGGGTAACTGAATTTCAGGTAAACAAACAGAAAGAGAATATAAAACAACTGTGTGGCAGACCTTCCTGCTTGACTATGTCCCATAGCTTAGTGGTTTAGGTCTTTGGCTGCAGAGCCAGAGGTTGGGAGATTGATTCCCCAGTGGTGCCTCCTTGACAGAGGCTGGACTCAATGATCTATAGGGTCCCTTCCAGCTTCTCAGTTCTAAGGTTATTATTATATTGTTTTTATATCAACTCTTGATAGAAATTTTTTCACTACCTTGGATGGGAGTTGCATTATTGATTGGTTCCAAAATATGAGGGTTCTCACCATCTAACTACCTAGGTTTTTAAAATGCAATTAATAATTTAGCAAATATTTAAAAAGAGAGAGAAAAGACTGGAGCATAGCTATCTTCCCTTTGCAACCATTCTTTAATTATTTTAAATTGCCTGTACAGTCCTATATATTTGAGGGCTAATATCCAGAGAGTCTGAAGCATCTATTTTTATCCTACACCCCTTTTCCACTCCATGGTGTATGAATGACTTACAAATGACCCAGATAGTTCCTTTTATTTAAAAACTTTTTAAAAAATCTGTTCACTTGCCTTACTTCTTAATTCCTAACTTTTGTTGATAATTTGACCAGATCACTTTCTTGCTTTCTCTGTTGAACTGAAAATTTGCAGAATTAAACACCAACATGATGACCACTAATTTAGATGGCTTTCAAAATGTTTTAGAGCAGTGGCCCCCAACCTCTTCTGAATCGTGGACTGGGGAGGCAAAGCACCCCCTGCACTCGCGGGTGGGCAGGGCGTGCTTGTGGAGGGGAGCACATGGAGGGATGGGGCATGCATGTGCAGAGGGGCACGGCATGCTTGCACGCATGCGTGGAGGGGCAGGGCACACTCGAGGAGGGGAGTGCTCATGCGCATACGCGGAGGGGCGGGGTGTCACTCACGGAGAGGCATGATCACACGCATGTGCAAAGTGTACTCGCAGGTGGCCGGGGCACCTGTGCATGCGGGTGGTGGGCCATGCATGTGGGTGGGGGGAGTGCATGGGGGGCAGGAGATCTGTCTCTGCATCCCGGTCCTGCCATGGGGGACTGGGGGTTGGGGACCCCTGTTTTAGAGGATATTAATGACAGCTGTCTCTGCATCCCGGTCCTGCCATGGGGACTGGGGGTTGGGGACCCCTCTTTTAGAGGATATTAATGACATTGGACACGTCAACAGCTACATTGTGATACAGCTAAATTATGCTGTATCTTACAGAACTCCACCATCTGGGGGCAACCAACAGGGGGCGTCACTTCCCATTACTCTCATGTCCCATTGTGGGTATCCAGAGACACCACAGTTTGCTATGGTGGGAAGCAGCATGTGGCACTAGCTGGAAACTGATTGGATGTTTAGCCTGGAGAAGAGAAGAAGGACTTGTTGCATGGCAGGTAGAACAAACTAATATTTTTGCTGCTGTAGAGAGGACAGGAGCCAAATCAATAGATTCAAATTACAAATTCCCCCTACCAAGAAGAAAAAAAACCACAAGACTTTTACTGAACACTACAAAAACATTCCTTAGAATAATAGGTGTTTGGCTACAAATGGATGGCCTCAGAGGGTGGCAGACTCTCCTTCTCATTAGAGTTTTTTAACAGAGATCATATAGTCACAAGTTGTTTTAATTATGGGTTTCCTGTAATGGCAGGGGTTTGGACTTGACAATCCTTGGGATCATCCCACATCGGCAGTTCCATGATTTTAGGATCTAGTATGATTCTTCTTATGTTATAGAACTACATTTCCTGCTGGTTCCACGGACCTGATCCTGCAGATGCTTATGCCACTGCAGCCTGCCAAACTCCTGCAGGCCTGAGAAGCCATCAGAAACATCGACTTTGCAGAGAGGTTTCTATGTACGTATATAATTATTTTATTTTTATAGGCAGCTCAAGGCTGGCTTACTGTTATAAACAGTAAATAGAGCTATTTGAACTCATATAAAGATGGCCTTTTGTAGCACACAGGGGGGAAATGGTGAGTACAGGGAGAATAAATTCAGGTGCACACTACCTTAGTTCCAGATCATAAGCAAGCTGGGGCAAAATTCACCAGGAATGGTGGCAGAAGCATCACTGAAATGAATAGGATTGTAGAACCACAGTTTGGGGCCCTGTGCAAGCAACAGTCTCTTCCCTTCCCTTTGGTGTCTATGATTACAGAATCAGGCACAGCATTGATTAGAATTTCCTCCGTGGCCAGGAGTTCCCTTCCAGAACTGACAGGCTACACTCACTGAGCAAGCAGTTTCATCATCACAAGTTCATTTTCAGTTAAGGGAAAGCACTGTGGGCGAAATGTTCTAAATCTTAAGAAAATACCACCTCCCCCAATCTTGTTCTCAAGCCATTTTTTTAAAATCATAAAGAGAGAGGAGAGACACTGTCTTATGAGAAGAACAAGGCACTTCAGAGCAGGTAGTTGGAAAGATATATAACTCTGTGCTGCTGTTCCTATAGGCACTCACCCCTTGGCCTCCGTTTTTATGACTTTACACCCTGGAGTGGTGTTATAGCTTCTGAACACGCACGTATATACTGAGGGTTGGAAGTGCGATTTGCAGATGTTTTATTTATAAGTGGCAGGCCTACTGTATCACAGAAAACATGCATTTACAAAGAGATACAGGTTTTATGAAACCCCATTCTGTTGGTTTAATAGTCAAACTACCCAGCCATAGAATAATAACCCGTAAGGTAACTGCATCTTCATCTCTAGAACCTGTTCCAAGTTCTCTCGGATGTGACTAAGTGTAGGAACCTCCCAAGCATCACAAGTTAATAAAAAAAAGTGGCAAATTAAGGTAGTCTCAACCATCACGATCAAGAGACAGAACGGACGGTGTGGGGAAAAAGTTCCATCTCACCAAGGTATTCCAGCAATTGCCTAAATGACATCTTTTAACATCAACACAAATTACTTGCAGTCAAATAAGATAACGCAGTCAAACATCAACAGACATGATGCACACCCAGAGAAGTTATGGAGGGGGAAGGGAGAGTCTGACTGGATCAGCCCTGTGAAGTTTTGGACATTTCACCGGTTAACAATGGATTGTCAATACCACCAATGATCAGAACCTCTTTTCCGATTCCAAACCAGTTCCAGACATGTGTGCAGGACTAGTTACACAATTCTGTGGATTTTACTCAGTGCACTTTAATTCTGAGGGTGGGATGTAACCTACCTACCTCTTCAGTTATAGTTTCTTCACTGAATAAGTACCCACTCATCCCTCACTCATCCCTCACCCAACATGTGACAAAAATTACTGCAAATTTCCATTGACAGAATAATTTAAAACCATGACACCTTTACTACCCTTTAGTAGCACAGACAGGGCAAACAGCAACTTCATAGGAAATAAAGAAATTTCTTTGGAAGCTTGAGCAAGACAGAACTCACCGAAATCGAAATACACATTTTCAACAACCATACAGACTTGTGCATACGATAAACATAGACACCAAGTGGTTGTAGAATTCAGTAAAACTTGCAAAATAGAGTAAATCGGCAAACTAAAGAAGTCACCCGTATTAGTTCATTAGTTCAACAACTAAGATATCAGCAAGTATTTGACTGAAAGATGTCCCATATTCTCCATAATGATATTTAAAAAACAGAGGTAGCAATAATAACAAAATAAAAAAGGGGGAAAAAGCCATGTCTGTGTACAAAATCCAAAAAACAAGGCTAGATAATGCTTTTTTGGACCACCAAAATATTTCAGTCCAGCAGGACTATCAGGCTGGGTACTGCAGAACTTTAGGGGGAAGAAAGAGAAAAGGGAATAACAGGTGTTTCATTGTTAGGGACACTGTAAATGGAATGTCCCAGGATGGATATTCCAGGGTTGTTATGTTAGTTTGAGGTATCTGAGTTCATCTCCGGATGCAGGATGAATTGGCCTGCCTGATGCAGTCCTTCTTCATCTCATTCAAGACTGGTTGACACACTTGGCAGAAGATGTCATTTGGTGCCAAATTAAATGTTTAATCTAAAGGTTTTATTATAATTTAAACTTTGGTAGGAGGATTGCCATATCTTTGTGTCCCTCTACTCCCAGTCATATCGTCAGCAGAAGGCCAGGGAGAATGCATTAGGTGAATGGTGAAAGAGACGAGAAAATCTACACTGCCAGTCATATCGTCAGCAGAAGGCCAGGGAGAATGCATTAGGTGAATGGTGAAAGAGACGAGAAAAGGCAATCTACACTGCTTTGCCCTGAGGTAAACCTAGATACCTCAAGCCGATGCAACAAGCCCAGACTTTCCATCTTGGGACACTGTTTTTGAATGATAATGAAACTAAGAGGTAAGTTTATGCAGATTTCACCAACGTCTGCTGGCTGTCAAAGCTGGAAGCAAGATTTATATTTAATGTCAGTTAACTTATGGAGAAAACAAACCAATCAACAAATTGTGTAATAAATTAGTAAAACTTTTCTTGTTCGTCCGTGAGCAAACTATAGCTCCACTCACCATTAACTCTTCAGGGGCTGGTCGTTCCTTTGGTTGCTTTCTCATACTGTTCATTAAAGAAAAAGAAAAGTATTCTGTATTAAACAGTCACCGATATTCCCTTCATTTGAGATTTTTTCAGACTCCAGTTTAATAAAGCAAAAGAATACAAAAATGGTCTTATATATGAAACTTCAATATGTTCAGGAAAACTACTGACACATTTCTTCTGAAAACTGTACTAAGGAAACTAGCCACCTTTTCTCCTACTTTGCTTCCTGTTGGACTCTTCTATACATTGCATATATGGGTGTTCACTTACAAGCTCTCAGGTGTACACATAAAACATATGGAATGTGAATGTGACAACTGGATTGTGTAGTGGCTCACCACTGTGCATAATGGTGAATGACATTTTCAGTATGTAGCTTACACACCCCTTTCTGGTATAGTGTTGCCTAGCTAGACGACTGCCTTGCAGGATGAGGAATTCGCTAGACGATGGGTTTTTGCAATTGCTATTGTGCTTCGCAAAATGATGGCTCCCTATGGGCGATTTTCACTAGACGACGATTTTTCCCCATTGGAATGCATTGCTTAGCTGTCAATGCATTCCAATGGGGACCCGCGCTCACAAGATGATGTTTGCCTACGGGCGATTTTCGCTACACAACGATTTCCCCATTGGAACGCATTAAGTGGATTTCAATGCATTCCAACGGGGAACCGCGCTTCACTAAACGATGTTTTCGCAGGACAGCGATCTTTGCGGAATGGATTAACACCGTTTAGTAAGGCACCACTGTACTTAGTTGTTTGCATTCTCATAGGAATGGTCTTACTTGTAGAACAAGTGAACTCGGAACCTATGGGAAAGTGAATTCTGTGCTCCATTAGAAGTTTCTCCTTATCAGAAAAGTTGCAGCAATCAGCTTTTGTCTCCTGTTATCCAATACAGCATGAATTTAGATTTTGAACTTTCAAACAATTCAGTTTTTGAGCTTTCAAACAATATACACACAGTATTATGACTTCAGCAATCCTTAAAACAGCACCACAAAGTAATTAGTATTACCCCCTTGGAGCAGACAGGACAGGGTAACTCAGACAATTGTGGGTTAAATCCACTTAGTGCATCTGTGGTGGATACCAACTTTGAACTGCAGGCTTGCCACTCACACTAGTAACCACTATGGTACCATTTTACAAAAGACAAATAAAACCGGCAGCAGATACTAGCATTTGAACTGGACAGCTGCCCACCTGCCACAAATCAAGAACCTGGCTTTAGAAAGCTCTATAGCATCATTAATGTTGTACAGGGGAACCAGCCTGCTCCCATTCACAAGCCACTAGGCGCTTCTGCTGTAAAACTGAGACTTGTGCAGGGCTCCTGGACAGATCCCACTGGATTTATATAAAAAACGGACAGCAGTCACAGCAGGGACACTCAAAGGATCGTCCAAAGGAGGGTTGCATTCTTACAAGTCATTCAGGCTGCTTTGGCAACCCTCTTAATCTTACATTCCAGAGTAGCTTGATCTCGGGGGAGAACAAGGCTATTATCTGCCATCATTTATGCCTGAGCCTGACGTCTGTGGACTTTTCTACAAAGGTTAGCCCTCCTCCTGCCACAATTAAAAAAATATAAAAATGATATGCTCTCAGATTAATCTTTAGACGTGGATGGAAAGGTACAGCACCAAACACCTCTGTTTGCCAAAGCATGATAGATAATAAGCAATTATGACTCCAGAGTAAAAACCTAATCTACCCAAAACAGGATTACTCTGACAATAAACATAAGATTTGTATTTATTATTTCAATTAACTGCAAACCTGCTCTGTAAATTCTTTGTTCATCCCCACTCCCCTTCAGGACATTCCAGGGGTGGTTTTCTTAGATTAGTTGAAGTTGGTATCATCTGAATTTATCCAAATGCGTCTCCCTCTCGGGGATGAATCTTTGGCCACTTCTTTAGTAATACAGTGGTGCCTCGCTAGACGATTGCCTTGCGGGATGAAAAACCCGCAAGACGATTGGTTTTTGCAATCACTATGGTGCCTCACAAGACTTTTTTTCTATGATTGTACAGTGGTGCTTCGCAAGACTTTTTTTTTAGACTGATGCATAGGGAACCGCGCAAGATGATTTTTTCACAAGACGACGATTTTCACAGAACGAATTAAAATCGTCTTGCGAGGCACCACTGTAAATGCTATTCATGTTAACCAGACTTTACTTTCAAAGGAAAAGGGAATTAGATCAGCTCTGACTGTCAGCACCCACTTATTTTAACATAGGAATTCCAGCCAACATTGCAATTGGGTGCTCCAACTATGTACAGTAGCAAACAAGCATCCTTTCCTTCACTGGCTTCTCTTACAGTGATTATTTCTCAGTTTTAACTCCAATCTCCCAAACAATATGGCTGAGCTTCACAGTTTGTTGAAAAATGACAAAACTAGTTTCTGCCCTCTTTCTATTCTAACACGGATGTTTTTGACCCTTTTGTATAACGTCTGCTAAATTAGGCTTGCTGGAAGACTTTGACCAGGAAGTTCATTTGAACTGTGGGAGGGGGCAAGAGAGAGAGAAACACTATCCACTAAATCTACCTCATTTGGATCGCATTCTCTCTCTCATCCTTTATCACTGAAGTGGATGCTTATTAGCTTTCTATATAAATGAGGCATTAAAAACACATCTTCGTCATAATAGGTTGTACTTAGATCTTTAACCTTTTTTATACTCAGGAGATTCCTTTTTAAAACCAGATTCATTTTTCTTAAAATTCCCCTAGTTAATTTAAGTGGCTTTCTATTGAACAAGGCCTTTTGTCTGGAAGAAACAAAACATGCCCTATGGTGTGGTTTAAAATACAGCCCATATGAACAAAAACGCTCTTCCAAAGAAGAATTCCATAAAATCAGTTCTAAATGAAATGCCTACAGATTAATCAAGTGTGTTTAGCCTATTTTAAAAAGGGAGCCTGTTCTTCTAAGGATATGTGAATTATGGAGTTATATGATATTACATCATCTTTTTTCTTCAAGCCATTTAAAGTAAAGCAGAAGCATATATATACATAGCATCAGTTCCTTGAGGAAACACCCGGATCCTCAATTGTTTATTTAAAAAGAGTGGGAGTAAAAAAAATTTCCCCCTCTGAAGTACTTTTATGACCCTTTGTGTAAATAACGTTTACATAATTTAAACAGTTTGCTCAGCTTTGCTGGCCCAGCTGCCCAAGGCCTGCCAAGTCCCTTGCGTCTCTGGAAGGATGCAGAGAAAGCCATAAGGTCCTCTGGTACTGTGGAGTTAATGGCATGTATCATTTACATTGAGGGCACAACACATTTGCAAACGAAGCTTACCATTGAGTGATGAAGTGTACAAACGGCTCGGAGAACTCCCCAACTGGAAGGACAGGCGATTCCTGCAATTGAGTGTGGATTGGGCAGATGGGGAGGGGAAAGAAAAAGAGTCGGAAAGTGTGAATCCAGTTCGTTAATTGTGTAGCTGCTTTCAGATGGAAAACCAGGAAGGAATGGTCGTTTAAAACAAACAAACAAACAATCAAACAAACAAACAAACAAACAAACAGGCTGTGGTTATGTGTGTGAGGAATGAAAAGGAATAGTAGGACATGCAAAAAATGCTGCATTTAGAAGTAATGAGTATTATACAATGGCTAAAACATGTGGAAATAAGACCAAAGGGAGGTAAAAAAGGGACAATGATAGCCACAGGGCAGAAAAGAAGGTAGGGAAAGTGTAAATGAGAAATTAATGACTATTTAAGTAACATCCAAATGGTCTTGTAATTAACAAAGAGCTGGGAAATTATTCTTGTGTTGACCTTTGCTTCCTGCATCATAGTTGCCATTTATTTACACTTAGCAATCCCAAATCTTGTTAGATTTAAACAGGAGAGACCAGAAAACAGTCAAAACTTGAAAACAAAAATAGCAAGTTGCGCCAATTAACAACAAATCCACAGAAACAAAAAACCACAGATACATACAAAAATGAAGGAACACGCTGTTATTATTTCAGGGGGAAATGTTTCAAAAGCAAAAGAGGGATTTACAAATTGAAGAGGTTTTGCTCTGTCTCCCCCACCCCCTCCCCAGAATGACAAAGAGACTTGCCAGTGTTTATAGAGTAACAGCTCAGGATGTAATGAAATTGCACTGCGGAGTACTTTAACAGTCATCTCATTAGACCTACAGTTGGAACAAGAGAGCCACATAAAACAGGAGTCAGCTGCAAATGACTCTGTTCTCATCTATTCTCATTTGCTATTAAAAAATACCTTTCGGCAGCTTTTGCCACTGCTTCCCCCCCCCATGTTCCCCCTACCTCCCCGAGTGCTTTGCAAAGTATGATGCATGCACCTATTTAAATTAACAAAGGAATGACTTATTTTAATCTCAACGTGCTTTGGAGTGCTTTGGCCATTTGCAAGCGTCATATATCATCACATACAACCTTCCACTGCTGCAGGCAAGAAATTCAGAATGTGCGGCATTTGGTCGGAGCAAAACAATTTCTCTTGCACACAACTGTGTCAAATGCATGTGTGGGGTTCATTACAGAGGGTTGCAAGGGAAATAACTTTGATGTGACAGGAGAAGACGAAAAAATTAAAGAAGAAATGAGTAGATGATGATAAAAGCACCTCCACAATACACATGTGCTTGTTATTATCAGTGGTGGCAAGGAGATGCGACCACCAAGCTGCTGACATGATTAGTAAATATACATATAATTGCTATGGCCAATTATCAGAAAAATGAGACTGGTAATTACAAGACAGAAAATTAACTAGAAGTCTTATTAAAGCTTTGTTTCCTATTCAAACAATTGGAAACTGCAGAAAAACACAATTAAATCAAAAGTAACTGAAGAGTAAAAGGTGACCGTATTCCAAGTATTGCCTTTGACAGACATTTTGAGGATCTACCTTCCCAATCTGCCAAATGGGAAGGCTTACTCTGAACTTGGCAACAGAACAATCAGATTAATATTTCTCTCACCTCCTTCCTAAAAACAAGAGAAAGTTTCACAAGAGGGATATGCAAAAGTGTCACCACTTAATCAAGTAAGGATACGGATCCCTAGTGTGGGTCAAGCATTCAATGGAGTACCGTATTTTTCCATATATAAGATGCCCCCCTGTATAAGAGCCCCCTCCCCACCTTTCTAACCCCAGATTAAGAAATCTTAATTTAGCTTCGAGTATTCAGCCTCTGGGCTCAGAATGCTTGGACAATACAAGTCCCTGTTGCATCTGAGCCTATAGGCTCCACCTCCAACGAGGTGTGTTCCAACTGGTTTGTTCAACATCAGCTGATGTCAGTTCCATAAGGCTTGTGACTGGAGGAAGCGAAATCTCCTGACTGTACGAAGCTAAGCCTCGTGACCGAAGGAAGCCTATTTACAGAGGCAAGGTACGGGCAGTTTTGTTCTCTCCTCTGCTTACACCCATGTATAAGACACCCTTCAATTTTTAGTGTAATGGTTTTAGGAAAAAGTAGTCTTATACACAGAAAAATATGGTATTGCAGACCAGCAGTTCCCACCTTGGGTAACACAGGTGTTTTTGGACTACAATTCCCTGGAACCCAGCCACCACAGCTGGTGGTGAATTATAGTCCAAGAACAGCTAGGTTACCCAAGATTGAGAACCGCTGCTGTAAACCAATGTCACCACCCTCTCATTGCACATGTGGGGTTATCAAGTCTTGAGTTCTCAGCAGGCCTTGGATTAGTCATAACTGAAGATGCTATTATCATCAATAGCTCTGGCAAATTAAGGCCAAGAGGCTCAGATTATACACTTTATAATTTGTTTTAATCAATCAATCAATCAATCAATCAATCAATCAATTAAATTTTTACCCTCTCCATCTAGTGGCCGGCCCACTGCTCTGGGTGGCTTACAATAAGAGCATAAACAACACAAACTAAGATACAATAATAATAATGGCTTTAGGGATAGTTTTGTTCAGTATTTCTCTACATTCTATGTAGAGTAGTCCTAGATGGAGCTGGAATTTTTAGCATGTATCAATCAATCAATCAATCAATTAAATTTTTACCCTCTCCATCTAGTGGCCGGCCCACTGCTCTGGGTGGCTTACAATAAGAGCATAAACAACACAAACTAAGATACAATAATAATAATGGCTTTAGGGATAGTTTTGTTCAGTATTTCTCTACATTCTATGTAGAGTAGTCCTAGATGGAGCTGGAATTTTTAGCATGTATACATTACTGAAACAGCAACATCTACGTTGGCTTGGGCATGTTGTGATGGTCAGATTCCAAAAGATCTCCTGTATGGAGAAATGGTGCACGGAAATCGCCCCAAAGGGAGACCACAGCTGCAATACAAGAATATCTGCAAGCGGGATCTGAAGGCCTTAGGAACGGACCTCAAAAGATGGGAAACCCTGACATCTGAGCGTCCAGACTGGAGGCAGACGGTGCGTCATGGCCTCTCCCATTTTGAAGAGACCCTTGTCCAGCAGGCCAAGGCAAAGAGGCAGTCCCAAAACCAGCAAGATCAGGGAGCTGGACAGGGGACAGATTCGATCTGTCTTCATTGTGGGTGGGATTGTCACTCTCGAATTGGCCTTCTCAGCCACACTAGACGCTGTTCCATGGCCTACATACAGAGCACGTTACCATAGTCTCTCGAGACTGAAGAATGCCTAATCTAATCTCTACATACATTATTTCTCTATAAATGTAGAAATGCTCCCCCCAGAAAAAGAGAGCTTTCAGTTCCTAGATTTGTGGGATCACAGCTCATGATTGCAATTCTTTTGATAGAGGAACTGGTGGGTTATGAAAGATTGAGAACTGGTGAACTAGGTCACTAAGCAACTAAGAGATATGCGCTTTCCAACTGTAGATCACCCTGTCCTCCTCTCCACTCTGCAGTTATCTATCTAAAGTAGAGACAACAATGGCTTACTTAAGGCCATTCAGGGATGAGCTTGAATTTCTCAGTATGCACTCCTTGGCAGAAGAAGGAATTGCAAAACTGACGAGATTAAAAAAAAAAGATAATGGCTAAAATCCAATTAACAAAATTTATATCTGTGCATGAGATCAAGGGCAGGACGTGAATTTAGTAATTAAAAACTTCTGTCTCACAGCTCTTGTGCAATTTGTTTCATTGTGTGGAAACCGAGGGATCCACAGGACAGAAGGAGGAAGTTTTTAATTACTAAAAATTGCCAATGCTAGCTGATGTTACCGGCAGGAGGAATTTTTTTCATAATTAATTACTTTCTCCTTTTGCCTTGTGGTTCCCACAGCTTCCACATGATGAAAGGATTAAATGGGAGCCAGAAAATCCACATACAGTAGTAGAAAAAGGTAATTACCAAAAATCACCCCTTGCCTGCAATGTCATCACCTTTCTGCAGGTACAAATTATGAAACAGGATTTCAGCCTAAGAATTCTACTGTAGGTACTCCAAGGATTTTCAGTCTCCTGAATGTATTTGCTTGTTTCCTTTTAAACCTGAGAGGGCTGGTCACAAGGCCTTCCTTAGGTATGGCAAAAGGAAGAGAGAGAAAAACAAACTGTCAGTTTTATTATGCCTGTATTATGAATCCAGAGAAGGGCAATTCGAGGGGGGCATGGTTTGAGTGATGCCTTTGCCTTGTGAATAATGAACAGTTCAGGAAGGTCAACCCATTACAACAGAAACTGTTTAATTATTAATTATGCACAATCTATGAGTGAAAGGACAAGTTCAGAATGTTTAATAAGTGGGGAAACTCCTACCAGACCCTTGCTTGGCATTTTGCTATTAGCAGCCGTCAGCAAGGTGCTCAAGCAGAACAAGCAAAGCCCAGCAGCAGAAAATCTAAGCAGGGTGGTAGTGCTGAACTTTAAACTTCCTCCCTAATATTTAATTCGCGCAAGTGGCAGTTCTCTAAATGCACAACTGGACAGACCAGAGTGTGCAGAAAATTCCCAGGACGGTGGGGTTTTTAGAGAAGCTATGAGAGCATTGTAACAGCTTTGCACTGTCCCAGAGAGATTCTTCTGTACATCTTCCGATTTGTTCCTTTCCCGCTTTTAATCAGAAACAATTGATTTGCAGGTTATGCACATCTGTGGCTTGTGTGGTTTTTTCCCTGCACACTCCCCTTCATTTCTCAGCTTCCCCAGCTGATGTGGACAAAGCCAACATGGCACATACAAGGGGATTGGCACATACAGGGAAAAGGTGAGGTAGTGAGGAATGAGGAAAAAGCCACCCAATGAAAATTGCACATGGACACAGGGAACTTAAAAGACTCGTATGAGGCCAGCAAAATTTGAGACATGATCTGCACCTTCAAAGACTTGGGTGTTCTTCCTCATCTGGACAGCCTGCCCAGGACTCACATCTGGCCCATTCTGCACCTT